CATTGTATTTCTGCTGTATTTGTTCGGTAAAACTGTTAAATTCAAGTTACTATGTGAATGCATTTATGAAACTAGATACAAATGGTTACAATTAACAGAGAAAGAAGTACTGAATGTCTAATTGTATATTGATTTGTCTGTAGATGAGAGATATCTTGCATAATTAGACAAGTCTGCAGAGCAAAATGCTGAATTATTACGTTTTCATTAGTTTACAATATCCACAAGCATTAGTATCTATCTATCTATCTATCTATCTATCTATCTATCTATCTATCTATCTATCTATCTATCTATCTATCTATCTATCTGTCTATCTGTGTGTCTGAATATATTCCTTAGTACGACTGGTGCTCATGGATCCCCAACGCTCCCTCCACCATGCGGAAGCCTCCGCCCGACCAGAAGGGTTTGGCAAATGTGAACTTGATCATCGAGAGCCTCCCTGATCGTGGACGCTCCAGCTGGCACCTGGGGGCTGTCTGGGCTCTCAGCCAGTACCAGGAGAACGAGGTACGGAAAGAGCACTCTGCGTCCAAACACACAGGCAAGCATTTCAACATTTGAAGGTCTCGGCACAGGCTGGGTTGTTTTTAGGACCGACAACAACATCAAGAGGTCCGATACGAACTATAAATTTCTAATTTCCCAAGAAGGCCCCATGTGTACTTCAGCAAGTGCTCCCCCCGCCCTTCCCCTTTGCAGTGCGTTTCAGGGCTGAATGACCTTTCTTGTCTCTCCCCCTGCAGCTGTACCTGGGCATGTATCCTGATGAGCACTTTACAGAGAAGCCAGTAAAGGAGGCCATGGAGAAGTTCAGGAAACAGCTCAGAGAGATAAGCAGCTCCATCAAGAAGAGGAACGATGGAAAGAAGCTGCCGTACTACAACATGTCTCCAGACAAAATCCCAAATAGTGTTGCTGTGTGAGGAATAAAACTGCAACTACAGGGGAGATGATCATGCCTGTGCTTTGGCAAATAGCAAATTAAAGATCTTCCAATGACCCAGATATGCTGTTAGAAAACAGTTTGTCACCTGAGCATGTGATTGTGCTACTTTTATATGAGCTTTTTTAAAATGATGTATATATTTTTGTTGCTTTTGTGCAATCCAGCAACATGGTACTTTGTTATTCTGGGTAACTAAGGGCTGTTGCTTAAGCAAACTGAGATTGATCAGTGGTAGAGGACGCAATCAGATCTAAGAGTGATAAAACCACACTCGAAAAATGCTCTGCTATAAGCAAATGTGCTGAATTTAAAATCAAATATAAGTATGTAAGTATGATCTAGAAAATGTACTTTGGGATCAAAAATAAAAGTACTCAATGCAGAAATGTTTCCCGTGACTGTTTTGCTACTACATATTGTACAACTGGATTATTCATACTCATGTATTCATGCAGGGCTGCATAGTCGCTCTGTGTTCAGCATTGTTGCCTTGCAGCTAGGTCACTGGTTCATGTCCTCGTGAGGACACCCGGGATCTTTCTGTGTGGAGTTTGCATGTTCTCCCCGTGCAGCGTGGGTTCTCTCCAGGTTCTCCGGCTTCCTCCCACACAGTCCAAAAACATGTTGAGGTTAATTGGTGATTCTAAATTGTCCGTAGGTGTGAATGTGAGTGTGCTTGGTTGTCTGTCTCTAAGTGTAGCCCTGTGATAGACTGGTGACCTGTCCAGGGTGTCCCCTGCCTTCGCCCTAAGTCAGCTGGGATAAGTTCCAGCCTCCCCACGACCCTAGTGAGGATTAAGTGGTGTATAGATGATGGATGAATGGATGGATGTATTCATGCAAAAACAGGGTTTTACTGTGTTAGCTGGTTGAGGTGGAGCTTATTTCAAACTATTTTGCGGATTATTTTCTCCATTAACTGACCAACAGTTTGATTTAAAACTTTTTTTAAAACCATTACCCTAAACCTAAAGTGACACCTTGACACTGTTTTTTGGTCTAACCAACAGTCTAAACCTTCAAAGTCTTTTAAATATTTGAATAATTTAAAAAAAAAAAAAAAAAAGCAGCATATTTGTAGAGCTGCAACTGCGACATGTTGTTGTTTTTTTTTTTGTATGGCAAAAGATTTAAATAATCATGCTGTAGAAGCTCTTCATATGTTTTGTAGGCAAAGCTGAGACATAAATGCAGTGAAGTAAACAGTAAAATATTTAATTCTGGGACGTAATGGTGTAAGAAATATAGTATTAGTACCTCAAAAAGTACAGTACTTGAGTAAATATACTTAGTTACATTCCACCACTACAGTGGACAAACTTGAGCCAGCGGTAAACTGAGTATTTTTGCATAATAAATAGAAACTTTGATCATGGAAACAGTTCCTTCGTAGCTTTTAGGTGTGACAAGCCGTCATTTGCCTGCAGACACGCTGGCTAAAAAAAAGTAATTTTGAAACTTTACTTCGAAATGGTTTTTTGCAGCTTATGTGGGTGAAAATGATTTAAAATGCATGGAGGCAGTTAAAAAGTTTGCATCGACGGTTTAATCCTTTCATTTCTACCTGCTCTTTTATCAGAGAACAGAACAGTTCTACACTTGACAATCCTGCTGCAGCGTATTCTCTGGTGACAGCAACAAATAAATCCTATTTATGTTAACATTAGAATTCAGAATGCGTGATTCAGCAGAGATTCACTGGAGAGAGAAAAAACACACACGGTGTTAAAAGTAACTTAATTTTTATTTGGTTGTTCTTTTTATTCTACATATTTTGTTCAAACATGGGAAATGAACTGAAAACACATCAATTTTTTTTTATTTTTTTTAAAAACATAAGTACTTTTACCAAATTTTTACATTACTATTTCAAAGTAAATTCACAGACAAACTTGTGGAATGATATCATAAGACAGGGGAACAGTCGTATATGTTCAAGTCCAGTCAGTAGTAAACAAATGTAGCTTTTATGCAAGTTACACTATTCCCAGACATGGTTAAAAAAAAGAAAATAATGCAGGTGACAGTGTAAAGACAGACAGAAAAATCTCGACTTATGCCTAAAATACTGAGGCCGAGAAAGTCACTTCATGGTGACGGACATGAAGAAAGGAAGAATGAAAAAGCTCAGAGAGGAAGCGTCCTAAAGTGGCTTCAATCTTCATCAGAACTATATCAAAACTTCTGCGTCAGACTTCATAAAAGGAGCCAGCTCCTATGAGTAGAAAGTAAAAAACTAAACAGAAAACACAATCTGAAATCCATCTTTAATCTTCCATCTCGTGGGGAAACATTTGTATATTTCGATTTGTTTGAATGTGAAAAGTAGGTTCAAATTCGATGCTGTGCTTAATTAAGTATCGTCTGCGTGTTTAAAACTAATTTAACAGGCAATTTAAAAAGCTAGAAGGTAGAACAGATATTTACGTCAAGGTCGAGTAATCAAACTTTTTCACAACTCTAATATCTAAACGACAAACTAAGTGCAAAACAAAGAGCGGAAGTGATTTTCTGGTATTTATGCCTGGGAAAACAAAAACTAAGTGTAAGTTGCATAAAATTACTAATGAAAGGGGTTTTTTTTCTTCTTTTTAAATGAACGAACTGTACTGTTTTCTGTTAAAAATAAATACAACACAAAATAAAGAAAATAAATTTATATCCAGAGGACACCCTGGACATTAAACACCAGTACATAACTGTAGACTAGAATAACAACAAAAGGGTAATTGCACTTTTTATCTGTCTAATTGCACAGAGCCTCCTGGGTATTGAAGTTTCAGAGAAGCTTGTCGTTTCTAGGTCTTAATCCAACTTGACACGCAACAACTCCCTCGGCTCATTTTGTATTAAAATTATGTTAGACTCCAGATCTCAAGTCACCGTGGGGCATATACATTAATACAGTATGCATTCTTGCAAAAAACCAAAAACACAAAGCGCTGATTTCATTTATTGCTGCTGCAGAGCAGTAATTGTCAGGTATGTTGTTGGACCATCATTGTTCACAGACAGTATAACTAGTATCAAAGACAGGTTTTAAAAATGTGTGTGTTGCTGGAATGGCTGTGAGGCTCAACATGAGCCTGGCATTGCTGTGCTCCCACATTAACAAAAGCACTCACAATGACTGTAAGCCCGAAAAAACACGTCGCCCCGAGAAATCAACCGCTGCCTATCTCAGACTGCACCTTCAGCTTCACGCCAGCAGGCGGCGATCCAGTCGGCTCATCAATAAGCGATGACACAGACTGACTCAGTCGCAGGAGATCCATGGATGTGTTACATCAGGGGGGTTTTTTGGGTCGGGGGGGGAGATGCTCTTATAGTAGTAGAATGTTACAGTGACACAAAAATCATCCTCAATGCTGAATGAATGGAGTAAATTTGAGAAAATGTGCCTTATTTGAGCCACATGAGACCAGATGTGAGAGAAACAATCAAATGAGGGCCAACGTGCTGGCTGTCTTGTGACTAGGTACTGAAATAGACAGTCTGGGGAACATAAACAAGACACACTGAAGCTGAGGCTGTTGCTCATCTGAAATGCTCTGTTATGCCACATCTAAACACCACATCTGCCACCTTTTGTTTCTTTCTACACATAAATAATTGATGATGGACTATAAATGCGCGGGTCCTGACCCGCAGAGCAAAAATGAGGCGGATCTTGAAAAGCCGCAGCTACAGTGTGTCTGGTTTTTAATCAAGACTCGCTGCGAAGGTTCAATTAACGCACGGCCTGCACAGCGGGAGCGACTGGAGGAAGGAACTGAAACTACGCAGCTGTGGATTTCTCAAGGCATATCCCATGACTAAGCAAACAAATCAACATATTAAAAACTGCACATGGAATATCACACTGTAAATACTGTGTCATTCGCATGATAGAAAAACAAGCGACACTGTTTACGCCCAAAGGCTCGCATTACGATCTCAAGACATGGAAATTATCTCGCAATTTCCTGTGACCAGTAAAAAAAATTCTTCTTTTTTTTTATTTTTTTGTAGCTTTCATTTATTTATTTTTTTTAAGCATTTTTTAAAAAGTTTACATTCTCAAAGCCTTCAGAAAGTTCATGTTGGGGTAGAGAAGTCATGTGGCTGGATTTTCCATTATCTGCATTAGAACTATGAGACTGACATGATCAACACTCACTGATGTGATTCTTTCACCACGGCTCCTTTTTTTTTTTTTTTAAACCCCCAATTCCTTTTTTTTCATCCAGGGTCGATCAGTAAGTATATGTGCATTTGAGGAAAGGTTTGTTTTCAGTGTGCTCTCTCCCCACGTACAACATACAAGATTCAGGTCATATGAAAGAAAGAAAGGAACTAGAGGAAGGGAGGGGATGTGTTGTGGGAACTAAAAAAATAAAAGTGCTTAGATGCATGTTCAGATAACGGCCTGGTCGGATCCAGACCGGCGCGGGGCTGACAGATCACAGCGACAGAGATGGCAGTAGCTGGAGTATTCCAGAGATCCGATGCACGGCGCTACATACTGATCCACGGCAGGTTAGCCCGAGACTAACAGGAGGTAAAAACGAACAAATCTAACAAACCCACAAGCAAACAAACCACGCGTCCAAGACGTGTCCACCTCCGGAGCCGTTTGTGAGTCCATTTGTCTCAGTCCTGCACTCCCAGAAGTGTACATACAAGTGTGTTTGTGTATGTATGTGTGTGTGTGTGTGTGTGTTTGTGTGCTCCAGGCCTCTTCAGACATTTACAGAACTCAGTATAAACAGTCTTGGTAAAAGGTAAGATGTGGGAGTGTGGATCGAGGGGGGGAAGAGAGTAATAACGTATGATTGGTGGAATGTGGACAAAGGAAGATAGAGTCACGGTCTGTCTGTCTTTGTGGATGGAGTTTGGGGAATATAAGCTGACCGCAGGAGGTCAGTGGGTCAAGTCTGGGATCAGAGGAAGGGGAATGTCTGGTTGTTCCTCAGTCACCGAGCATTTCCATGACCGCTACTCTTCACTGTGGGCCTGGTTCGTGTGTGTCGTGCGAGCAGGACAACCGTTGGCGTGGACCGAGCTGTCAGACGTGGTGCACCTCCATACTGTAGTCCTCTGTCTCTGTGTACTGGGACGAGTTTGTGTCTGACTGGGTGGGGGCCAGAGCCTCCTTGCTCTCCAGACTGGGCTCCATGTGAATCTGCTTCTCCGCCACCAGCTTTTTACACGTGTCTGGCCGGTTCTGCACGTAAATGACCCGGTTGTAAGCCTTGAGTCTCCTCCATAGATGGATGTAGACTTTGCACTGGACGTACATGAAAACCAGTCCGCCTGTGAAGCCGATGGCCACCACTACAAGCTTGGTCCAGAAAGGCCATTCAAGGATCCCTGAGGAACAGAGAAACAGACAGGAAAAAAAAGAAAAGTGCTCAAGTTAGACCAAACAACACAATAACTAATCAAACTCCTTTAAAATAAAAACGTGTCTATAGTCTAGCACATAGACTTTATGTATTATCAAGTTCAGGAGGTCGAAATGCACAAGCGAAAACACGGGGAGAGAAGAATGGCTCGATAAGCTGCTGCAAATTCAATAGATATTTTAGTGAATCATTAACCTTGAACTACAGAATGCATTAACAGGGAAGGTATGCGGCTGGGAAACTATTGTACAATGCTGCAGGGATGTATGGGAGACAGATGGACGCAGTATCATCACAATGTCTGCAATGTGCCGTATCTCATCAAAGACGATGGCTAATAGGGAACGAACGCAGGGATGTTTTTGCAAATAAATCATATTTTATAGCACTGAAAATACTTTTCCACCACGCTATTCTGACTATGATGTAACTGTGTGTGTTTTTAACTTCAAATTTTTACAGGATTAAAGGGAAATTCCTGAGATTTTAAATGTCTCTGATCCTGAACACTTCATTTACTGCTTTGTGTTCATCGGACCCGTCGGGCTGCACCTTTACATCACTCTGCTTTAGGGGATATACAAAATTTCTGACCCATCTGCATTTCTTTAAATCAATTCTAATCCTATTGGGTGGAGCGAAGCCCAGGATGCAGCAACAGTGTCCCTACAAAATTAAGCTGAGGGGGAATTGTTTTGGTGGAACATTTAAACGCAAGGTTCGAGCACTGTCATTAAAATGGCTGATTGTGAGGTAGGTCGCTGTTCAGAGGTGGTTGTTTCCTGCAGTGAAGAGGGATTTAAAAATACAGAGAGAGTGGAAGGGGAGGAGAAAGTGAAGTGCACAGGCAATGGCAACTTAATATCTGAAATCTACATCCAATGATTCACACTAGTTGTGTAGTGACGCAGCATGGTTGGGCCACAAGATGAAACGTATCATGGTTCAATATAAATTTGTCTTGTGTCAGATGTTAGCTAACCCTTTTTAATATTTCCTTATTTATTAGTTCATTGTGGGCTGTGTTGCAAGCTAGCGTGGGGAATTATGAATTTTTGTGTCCGTTTTCAGAGTTGACAGAGAAAAGGTTCTGTCATCCACAGACACATTTCTTAACAGATAAATCCCATACATCAATAATGTGATACAAAAATTACATGTACAGTGATAGAAGAGTTTCACCACATTGCTGATCACTGATGCAATGCGGACATTTCGAGGCACTCTACTTAACATTATAGCTGCATGAAAATAACATCAGTAAAATCAGACACGGTGCTCATTGGCTAACCCAAGCAGGTTCAGAGTCTGCAAGATTTTTTACGCTATTTAACAAAATAAATACATAAATGACTGGGGCTGTCTGCTACTTACACTTTCCTGTCTTTTCCTGTCATCTCACTAACATCGCTGTTCAATAAAGGCACAAAATGCCCCCGAAATAACTATATCTTACAAAAACAAACAAATAACAGCTTGAAAAGTGGAAAAAAAATAAAAATGCTCCAGCAAGACTTCCAAAGTGGTTAGCATTAATATGCAGCATGTGATTTGTAGTAAATTTGCTAAACTGCACAAAAACATTTCAAGGGCCCCTGGGGCAATTACAGCATTTCTCCTAACTGTATAAACCCTAAGGCTCCAAGTAGGAGGTAAAAACATTTGCAAATGTGGAAAATAAAATAGTTTGTAATAATCTCCAGCAAGATCCAAAACAAATAGTGATGCTGACACACTGACATGACCTGCAACCCCTCACTTATTTTATGTTGGCATTCATATTAAAGCCAGTACGAGATATAAAAGCAGGAAAGGTCCATTCCATATACTTTTTTTTTATTGTTTTATATCATTTTACCAAAGGTGATAAAATAAATATATGGATTGAAATGCAAAACTGCCTCATATGATTGGACGGATCCCAATTCAAGCATGGCAGACATAATATAATCAGTATGGTAATAACTGTGCAGGACAGAGATGTCAGGTCCTTTATATCTAACTTTATGAGAAGAGATTAATGTGTCGTTTGTTTTGTGAGATTATGTCAGCAAGGTTTGTTTTAATCACAACCCTCAGTCACAAAGCATAACACAGAAAATAAATCACAGCGTGTTCCTCGACTCTGTGTCTGCCTGCGTTCATTAGTCTGGAACATTCAGTGACGTGGTGTGAACATAACCGGCCTTTGAGGGGGAAGAAGTTGTGTTTCTATCCTGAAATCAAGGCAGAAAAGGGAGGGAAAGGGGCGTAAAGTGCAGTTGGAAAGGAACTGGATACAGCGGACAGAAAGGCTGACGGGGAGAACACAATTTGAAAGTCAAAAGGTCAAAGTTGAAATGTTTACCTGGGATTCTTCCGGCTGCATGAATAAAGAGAGTGTAAGTATCATGTATTACCAAAGACACACAAACAGATTGATAGAAAAGGCAAAGTGTAGAAATAAAGTCAATATTACAGTAGCACAATGTAGGATTTAGGATTAACTCATGCAATCAAAGACTAACATCATAATAGACAACAAAACATAGTTCAAGATGTTTGGATCCAAGTCTCCCGTAATTTTGATTTATAAAAGAAAAAAACCATAACTGTGGTTCAGTGTGACTTGGCAGAGGACAAGCTGGACTGGTGAGGAACGATTTGGCATCACCATGGTGACTGAACCTGACAGCCCTCAGGGACTCTAACAAGTCTGAATCATCAGGTTGGGCTTAACAGGCACAGCCTGCTCCTCCATCTGTACACTGTCTCCAAAGTGCCAAATGTGCCAGGGAGGGATGAGTAGCAGCAGACGTAATGCCAGCGGATGCTACAACAGCTCATCATTAAAGCATCCTTCTCCTTTTTTAGTCCTGATAGCGAGAGCACAGCGGTCTGAGGATGGTGGCGTCAATGTTTCCATGACTAAGTGCTGCTGTCCACTTTGGTCTGGATGTAGGAAGCAGCCCAGACTCTGCTAAAGGGGTTTTACATTTTACAGTGTTTTTTTTTTTGTATCTCTTATTCAGGTTTTTTTTTTTTAAAGCAAATAAATATGTTGCCTTACTGGCCGCTGTCTGAATTTTTCTTATTTATTTATTTACTTCTTGTACAGTCTGTGGTCAGCAGCAGGTTCCAATTTGGCACAAAATACTGTAAAAATGTTGCTGGCAAATCTGAAAGGTTATCATGGGACTAAACTATCATCCTAATCAATACACAGAAGGAAGTAATCCCAGACTCTAGGGTCAGAAAAAAGTGCTCACACATTTTGTGAAGAAACATTTGTCATTTGGGGAACACTTGTCCCAGTGTTAGATGAGGAAATCAATACCGCTCTCATTTATGTCAGCAACATGAAGCTGCAACCACAAGGACTGAAAAAACAAGAGGAACCAGCCAGCTTTGTCCAAAAGTAACACAATCTAGCTTCTAGCACCTCAAAAGCTCACTAATCTACACTTTTTGTTTTGGTTATTTTAATCTATTCAGAAATGTCTAGCTGGTTGCCTGGCAACCAGATGGTGATGACAAGAACCCCAAAAGTGACTGCAGTCTGCCAAGAAACACTCTGGCACTTATTACCCCATAAAACCTTCATGTTCCGTGTTAATTGGGCTCATTTACAGCGAGAGACGCTTGTTGTTTTCTGTCATATGCTAAGCTAAGCTAACTGGCTGATAACTTAAGATATCAAATTGATATTGATCTTGTCATCTAACTCTGAGGAAAAGAGCCTGAACATTCCTCAAAAATGTCTATAGCTCCTTTAAATTGTTGCCCTGATGCAAATTGCAAATTGCACATTTATATTGCAGTACATTCAGATGTTGTGTATTTCAGCTGTTGTGTCCAGTTTTTGCCACAAGCTTGAGCCAAACTGAGACTAACTGCAGCTGTCACACAGCTGTCGGACCTTCCAGTCTATTTTACACCGAGTACTTTTTAAATGCTGATAACCGATGCACATGCACACAAACGCACGTACACACAGTCATAAAAAACACACACAGACTCGCACACAGTTTATCCTTGTGAGGATCTTTTGCTGACTACGTTCTTTTCCGTTAACAGTCAGACTGACATAAACTGACCTTGAACACACGAGGCCCGCATCGCTTTGCAAAAAACAACTTCACACTAAACGTCTCAATCTCAACGTGGATCTTCGGGTGAGACGTAAATAAATATTTTCTAAACCTCAGACCACAGATCTGAAATCAAAGTAAACTGAAATGAACGTAAAAGTTCAAAGGAAAAAAACCTCACAGACGGGAAATAATCTCTGAAGCAAATGCTTCTGCGCATTTGTTCGGTCTCAGCTGCGACTTTGATGTCAACTGAGCTACCATGAATTATGCACACATATATTCCAATGTTAAGGAACATTTTACACACTCAGTGTTCATATCATGGGTATAATGCTGCAGTTAGACAGATTTGTTAATAAATAAATGACTTAGGGACGGTGGAAGACTGCAGATGAATGAATGACATCCAACACGACACTACATCTAACACAGACGACGGCGTTACGTTAATGCTTGAGTGTATGTTTGCAAATCTGAGTCTGTGCTGACCTTGTCTGATTTCATCTGCCGTTCTGTCGATGAGAACGTAGAGCGACCAAACCACGCAGGTGATGGCGATGACGTGGAAGGTGACCGAACACATGATCTTCCTTCTCTCGCTCGCCGTCATCTGTAGTTTCTCCCACTGCAAAGAAAAAAAAACAAACATTTGAGGAGGTCAAAGGGGGCACAGACGACACATTCACACACAGAAAAAACGCTCTTTTAAACGCTCAAAGTGGTTAAACTGTTGGCTCTCTCGGCCATTTTCTGGAGCAGCTCAGTGTGTGCGTTAAATATTTGATGGCGAGCATTCAGCTACTGTAATCAAGATGCAACGCTACGACAACGCTTCTTGGCAGGGTAAGGAGGATGGAGAAGAAAAGTGGCATGCAGCCCCCAGGACACCGAGGCGATGCACCCCGCTGCCTGCCAGGAAGCTCAGTTAACACACTGCGGCACCTTGTCGGTCACCAGCTGCACAATACTTCACACTGGAAAACAGCCCAGCAAGACAAAGAAAAACACAAAACACAATGCCAGCACAATCAGATTAGCGCTGTAAATAAGCTGTATAGGCTCTCCCAACATCCAAAAGCATTACTCACGAATCCAGTCATGAGCCGGTAACATTGCAGGGTCACTTTTTATGAGGAGCAGGGTTGTAACAGCACGACACACTCTTTGATAAACACTTCATCACTGAGACCAACATCCGCCTCTCATCTCAAATTTCTCTGCGCACTCACACATGAACAACTTCAATATTCACCCGTGGGATTCAGAAGCTATTAACAGCGGAGCATTTGTTTAAGGCCTTTTGTGCAGCTAATGAAGGGTGGAGGAATTTTAATTAGAGTGTCCTGCTATCTCCAGGCCGCAGCGATTGATAAGAGCCTTTAAGGGAAGTGTGCCGCCTGTAAACCATTTGAAATGAATCATAAACCCCCGCCCCCCCCTCCATCCTCCTAAAAAAGAAGAAGTTCAGCTTATGAAAACGGCTTCAAAGCTCAGTGTCATGATTGTGTTATCTGCTTGACTGACAGTTTTTGGTATTTTTTTAAATTTCCTTAGTTGGGACACTCTTAATTTATTCACTAAACTAATGAATATGAGCATTCAAATGAACACGTGCAGGCTGTCTCACCTTACGCAGCGGTTTGAGCTTGGTCTCCATGATGAACTCATATTTACAGAGCTCACAGCAGCGAGTGTCAGAGCTCTTGATCCACTGTTGTAGGCAGGCCTGGTGGACGAAGCGCAGGCTCCCCGTGCAGTGGCATGGTGTGATCAGAGGACTCTCGTCATCCCCTTCACAGTGACAAATCCTACAGGAGGCAGAGAATACAGTCAACACTAAGCTGGAGGCAAGACAGCTCAAACAGGAGGAAGACAGGAGAGAGGAGAGATCAAAAAGAGGAGAGTTGGCAGGCATAGCTGGCAGATATTTCCCCAAATCTGAGAAAACTGGAGTTCTGGAAGATATACTATATGTCAGCACACTTGTAGTATCCTTTAGTAGTATGAATAATATGGCAAAAAATGCTAATTTTGCCACACTCACCACAGCTTTAGCAAAGCGCGGCAGGTGGGGAATACGATTTCACAAATATGAAAGCGTATTAACACCGTGGCCGCAGAAGACAATACATGTCCCACATGAATAAACTCAATCAAGACAAACTAATTTGATTCAAAGCACTTCATTTGCAAATCCGAGCGGCATTTTCAGGAAATAATAATAATGCATTCTTGCAGTGTCGCAGCACAAAATCGAAGAGAGCTAATCTAATCTCAGATGCCCTGTAGTTGTGTCGCCGTCTTAGTTTCAGTGTTGCGGTACAAGTTGTCTGTGGCGATAATTACGTTAAGGTGACATACAGCGAGTGCAGACAACACAATCAATAACTATACGGAGGCATCTGTCAGTGGGTCCCAGTCTTTTGATTCAAATGTGCTCTTTATCAGTTATTATGGTTGATTATTATCTGGATGACAAATGGATATTAATAGTTTTTTCATGTGATTAAATTGTGAATTTTAGTTTTGCTTTGGTTAAGTTAACTTTTCATTTAACTAACATAAACTATTTCAACAATTTATCCAATCCTTTAAGCAAGCAATCAAATTCTAATTAGTCTTTTTTTTACACTTGCTGATCTATTTTACAATCTGTTCATATACAAACACCCGTCGTTGTGTATTATGGGAATACGCCAGTCTAAATAAACAACTTATGTAAATTTAACCCTTTGAATCCCAAATTCCACCAGTGGAATTAAAGAATCACACAATCAAAAAACAGGGCAAAATCAAAAGTCAGCCAAATCTAAGGTTAAATTTGAAGAGAAACCTAATTTTGTCAAAATCCCTTTATTCTTTGTGTCTTATTTGAATATTCACCAAAAAAATAAACTGTTTACTATCACCAGATTCTGTTAAAACAAAAAAAATCCAACTGAGGAGCCATTATTTACTCAGCTGCTGCCAACAGTCATGTGATAGAAATGCAGGGATTGTTCGGCTAAACTGGGCTAAACTGCAGGCTGTGTTTACACAGAACAAATAAGGAATAAGTATGGAAAAAAACTAAATAAATAAAACCTCTATAATGTGTAGAGTCACTGTTTTTATCCTGTATTGGTAGCACCTGTGGCCACATGGAAAAATGTTTAACATGTTGATCCCAGTTTGTTTTTTTTCCTACATTTTTGTAGAATAAATTACCAAAGAAATTCTTTTTGTCTTCTTTTGTTATACTGCACTAAAATATTGTTGAGTTCTGTCCACTTCTAGGTATTTTTCTGCTGTTTCCACACAGGTGCAGAGATTAGATTGCAGAGAAAAACGAACCCACAGTGAGTAAAAATGTAACAGAAGCAAAAAAGAATGCAGAGAAACTGCTTTGAGTTCAGTGGGTCAAAGCTTTCCAAAGCTTCTATTTGTTGTGATGCTACACCATGCAATTGTATTAGATTCAACAGATGTTTGTAATATTGTGTTTAGTCCCTGCAGAGGCTTCTGTAAGGTATTCTGAGCACAAATACCGACAACCGGAACATTCGATTAGGTGTCCGTTACCTCTAAGGACCCCTGGACAGGCTTTTCTCAGTGAGAGGAACCAACACAATTTTTTTTAATATCAGACCAGACGATCACACGTTGCGGACGCTGTCTGACAGGTGGGAGGACAGAGGTTGGAGGTATTAGTCATCCACCTTAAGAAGCAGCACATTTGTCTGTCTCGGTCTGGTCCGTGTAAACGAGAGCCTGTCTGCGCAACTGACAAGACGGATAGCGTGAAACTCACACATTCACCTGGAAGTCAGTCCGAGTCTGCCAGTGCAGCGAGTTTAAGTGGTAAGGGGCAATGTGGGTGGTTGGGGAAGGTTATTAGAGCAGCTCATAATCTCAAAGTGAAACCATTACCACGCGCACGCCCACTCGAGAAAGCAGAAAGTCATTATGATCTCCCAGTTCAATGTCAGGACACTGACCTTGCCGTGGCTGCTCAGACCAGAGTCCTTAGTGAATAAGCAATAAGCTCCGAAATCAGCTGCTGCTTGTTCCACCACAGTACAACTTTAATTAAAGGTTAAACTGACATCTCTGGCCACACTAACGGAGTGATTGCAAAGGGAGTTGAAGCTGTTGCTCTCCACAATAAAGCGCACATGATGTCTCCACAGAGGGGTAGTAATAAATGGATACAAAACACACAAGGGAAGGCATTATTGATCTATTTTCCGAATCCACTTTTTCTTCTGATTTGTACAGGGAGGCGGATGAACAAACCAGGACCTCCTTCTATTGTGGTTTCCCCCTGAGTGAGTTGCAGAGAGCAGTGGCGCTCCTCTGGGGAAGAAAACACAAACAAAGCACGTACAAAAAAAGACAGAAGGAGACGGGGAGCGGGGTGTTCAGATGGGATTGTCTTTATCCCAGTTCAGGTGAGGATAGAAACACATGAAGAATCACGTGCACTCCCACGTGCGCCCACACATGTTAGAAAGTGAGCGAGGAAGATGATGTCTATTTCCGGAGCTCTGGATGATCTGGCCAAAGCGTTACAAGATTAAAAGACAAGGTGAACAAAGGGGGACAAAAATAGGTCACTTCCACAGGTTCTCCACTAGAGGAGGAGGTGGAAGGAGTAGAGGGAGGACTGGGGGTATTAGAGGAGAGAGGAGGCACAATTAACTTCTCCAGAGGAGGCTTTTTTTCTGTTGGTTATGGATAGGCTGCTTTGTTTGTGTTTGTTTGCATGGATAACAAGATGATGAACTGCAGATTCTCCTCCCACGCATACTGTATTCCTATTTCAATTAAAAAAATTCAGCCTAAGGGACTGGACCGTCTTGGTGTTTATATCAAGCATTGCCGCCTGCTGAATGAGCAGATCTGACAAATTATTCTAATGTTTATGTGGATTTTGTTTTAATGTAGGAGGGGATAACCACAGAAAAATCCCTACTCCTCCGCATGGAGCTATGGCGGAAATAAAATGATCTGTAAACAACAAGATTGGAGAGATTTTGTGCAGAGAAATTTGGGTTTTTTGCTAAATTTATTGAAGGCTTTGGCTGCTAGAATTAGACAAAATTGCATTTAAATTGCTTTAAAGATAGAAATCTCACAAATAAAAGCGCACGACATTCAGCTCCGTCATTAGATGCAAGGTACATTAAAGAGATGAACACACTGTAATGATCCCAAGCCATCTTACAAATTCATCAAGAAAATTAGCTCTATTTGTGTCACCAGCAGCACATTCCAAGCACTGTTGGGCAAGGGAAGTTAAAATTTAATTTGCATCGCTTGAGCAGCCAAAACACACCCTGTTTAACAGTAATTTTAAGATGGCAGAGGCGCCGTCAGAGTATGACAACATTAAAATGTGAGAGGCAAAACAGAGTCGGGAAATCACAAGCACCACAAGCTGAGAAGGAAACAAGCTCAGCAACGGTGCGGCCCTGCCGAGGCATTCACTTTCTTCCTGCTCCCTCTTTTTTCGTTTCCTCGTACTTTTCTCCGGTGGCATTCAGCCAGTCTTTCCGCACTCAGTCTCTTTAAGATCTTCCTCCTCCCTCCAGCCTTTCCTCGTTCAGCTCGCATCCTGAAATGTTTATGTATTTATTTTCAAATGAATTTTTTAACACTAATCTGTTTTCTTTTGCTTTTCCTGCTAAACAGATTTTCACGTGGATGATACGGGGCAGAGTGTGACATGTGAGGCATTTTGCTCTCAGCCTGTTTTCAGTCTGAGCAGTTGCAGCTCCACACTGTCAGAGACACACTCGATGAGTGAAAAACACAACTCAACTGGTGGCAGGAGCTCTGAAAGCCATCTCCCTTTTTACTCCTTTCCACTCAGTGTACATCTTAAGGGGCTAATTGTCTCTCTTTACATGGCAACGCTTGCCTTAAAAGAGAATATTACATTTCCTGAGAAGGCACTAATCGGTTTGGAGGAAGGTTTAGAAATTAAACAGGCTATTTGTTTCATATTGATAGACGTAGAAGCTTAAAAGGCATCCTATAGTATGTTTTTTTTTAATGCTAGAGGCTCTAGTCAGTAATGTTTATGTTTGTATCTGCTGCTTTGCTAAAATATGCATGAGGATAGCAGTAATCTATATGTATAAAGTGAGCGAATCATAAAACACTTAGAAGAAGGGAAGAGGCTACGCAAGAACTGTGAAGAAGGTGAAAAGCTATTCCATGCAAAGAAATGCAATCTTGACTGTAATCACAGCAATTTACTTCAGAGGTTGCTATAAAAATGTGGATAAAAGACATCTGGTTTCATGCTTTCTGATGATCGACAGATGGTATCAGTAACGTTTTAAGCGATGTAGCAAAGCTGCACCAAACGGCAGGTAGGAAGATGAATACGAGCCAATTTAAACGCCAAATGTAATTAATTCAGCTCTTCTATTTTTTTCAAAATATTCACAGAAATCAGGACTGGAAATATTTTAAGATGAAGAAGATTCAGTCAGTTTAATGTTTTCTTGCTGAGACCCACTGAAAGTAAACTGTGTTTTCTCTAAAAGGTGACGTTTCTAATGAGGAAATAAACCAAGTCACCTCTTATTGGGCTTCCACCTGTTATAATCTGTTGTCAATAAAAAAAGCTGGCTAATAATTAACATCGCATTCATCTGTGGAAAAAAACAACCACCCACACACTTCTACAGGTGAGGCCAGCCTCAGCTCTGAGCTCACGCTTCCAGCCACCTGACAGAGAGCTGGCACGATGTGTTTGTGTGCATGTGTGAGTGTACAGTGCTGGCTATTTGAAGCCAATAATCTGCCTCTTGATCTCTGGCCTTTGGCTTGCCAATTCTAAGCTCATGTTTCTCTATCAGCCCGCAGCCGAGGTGTGAAAACATATAATCTGGAAAGCAGAACGTGCTGAGGGGCACAACAGAGACGGACCTGTATAAGTGGCATTCCTGTGTTTAAGACTTGAATCTCATCAGTCCAGAGAAGTGCAGCCAGATGGAGCAATGACAGACAGATACTGTGACCCAGGAGGGCTTGATGTGACGCTCACAATTCCAGTTTTCCATGACCGAGCAAGATCTACAGCTAGCAAGCCTCATCTGCAGGGGTCATGCAGCCATGACCTGGTCTATAATCGAATATTACTCATAATCCATCCTGTCTAACGTGGTCCGGATCGGCCAATAAGACCGCACGCAGCTCGTCATGTGACAGGGACTGATGACGGCCCTGTTGACCCAATCAGACAGAAACCGGTTCAGTACCATTTATTGTTCACTTTCTGCTATTTCTCAGACAGACACACACACACACACACACTCCACTCCTCAGTGCTATTAAATCTTCTACCCTAACCTCTGCCCCTCTGTCTATTCCTTAACACTGCCATTGCTCCCACCCCCATCCCCAGTGCAAAGCTTCAGGCTTATGAGCAAAATCAATCACAATTTTTTGCAGCCTATGTAAGACACTTTACTGCCTCATCGATCTGGTAACAATGAAAAATTATTTAAAAAACACGGCTTGACAGCACAATGAAAAACATGGCAGAGCGCTGAGATAACAGTGAATTGAAATTAGGTGGTATGAAATTACAATACATCACATTTTCGCTCGACAGACACACACACACACACACACACACACACACACACACACACACAAAGGGGTTGAATCGGGGCAACTGAGGGGGGAGGAGGCGCGGTTGTTGTGGTGTGTGTGCAGATTACAGTGACTATGTGTCAGGCTCTTCTGACTAACAGCTTCACTCTGAGCGGGGGTTGAGAGGACAAACACTGCTGTGGTAGAAGATATTTGCTGGGCAGTTACACTACAGGAAGAGAAGCTTCTCCACTACTCCACAGGGCTCTGGGGTTCACTGCCACGTTACTGCACAGGGGTGATCTGGGCTTTACCAAGTCACAGGAAGGGTGGGTGTGGATTACACCATCCAGACAGTCACCCACCTGCAGCAGTCCCCTGATAGCGAATAGGGTGACAGCGGCCCTGTTTTCTCTGACAAAGGGGACGGACAGCGGTCCAAGTCGCTGTCCTCGTCCATATAGCACAGCGGGGCTAGAAGAGCATTCAGCCCGGCCGCAGTGACCGTTTCTGGGGTCGGTGGCCGCTCCGTCCCCTTCGGAGCTGGACTGGGCTGGTCCTCCTCAAACACGTCGTCATCTCCCAGTAGATCCTCAGGGGGGAACCCTGACTCACTGCCTTCCAGCAGGACACTAGAGGACTTGGTGATGTGGAGGTGGGAGCCGTAGCTGCCCAGCTCAGAGAATTGCATGCTGGCCGATGTAGAGGATCGAGAGAAAGGAAGGAGGAGACGCAGGAAGTTGGAGTTCGGGGAAGGATGAGGGTGGAGGTGGGTGACGGAGAGGGGAGGGGTGCTGACAGCAGGGTCGGATGGGGAACAATCGGCGGGAGGGATGCCCAGCATGTATTTGTAGTTGTTGGTGAAGGAGGGGACGAGGTGGGGGTGGGTGTGTGCTGAGAAGCTGGGATTGGGGCTCTGCTGCGTGGGGGCAGTGGGCGGCTTGCCGTTGAGTGTGTGTGCCCTTCCATTCGAGCCGGGAACCTGAGCAGGCTCCGGCTTCAGCTCCAGCTCGCCCTCGGAGCATGTGCGATCTATGAAGTGCAGGCCGCGGCAAAGGCTGTCCACACGTTGGCCCACGTCGTTCAGAGACACCGAGAACCTGAGCGAGCTGTGGGGCCGGATGTTGACGGAGGGTGGACGGAGCAGGGAGAGCCAGTCTCGCTGTTTGGCGTGTTTGGAGGCCGGCAGGGCATCTGTGCAGAGTGTGGTCACTGAAATACCTCCTGACCCTTGACAGGTTTTACCGTTAGAATTCAGCAGAACCACTGCAGTCTGCTTCTGAGCGTCCTGATCCTGACTGCTGTTGTGAAAGTGTTTGTACGCGTTTATGAAAAAGGAGCACGTGATTGAAGATATTGGTCAAGGACAGCAGGAGAAGGCACGGGAAAAGACAAAAAAGAGAAATGGAAAAGACATCATGCATTTGAAAAGAAAAGGAATCTGAAAAGAAAGAGATACATGCTTGCGGGGGCTTTGTCTCTGCATGAAGCACTGGGTGATCCATGTAACTATAACGTTTATTCTATAGCTACAACCAAGGCTGCTCCCCACAGTGCTCAAGGGTAAAGTGTAAACCAACATCCCCTACTGATAAGGCGCTTCACCAGCAATAGAATGATAAATAGATTCGATTTATTGTCCTCAGGTGTTCATATCAATGTGGTCACAAACTACTGATTCACTGGCATGATTTGAGGTTGAAGCGGTTTGTACCTGCAGATGTCCTGGCTCGAGGGGGAAACCGACGTCCTCGAGAAACTGCATGGAGCGTTGACTGAAGTCGGGCTCCCCGCCTGAGGACCAAACACACACACACACACACACACACAAAAAAAAGGTCATTTAGGACAGAAAGTACAATCGTGAGACTTCTAAGTAAAAGCCTGCGGTGAAATAAATACTGTATTATTCAACAAGCGGGATCAAATCACACTTCCTGTGATGGCGGCGACGGTCCTGTGTGGTGAGAACGATCAGGCTGTCAGCGGCCGATTCTGATCTTTACAGAAGGAGTGAAAGCACGTCGCATACTGATGCACGAGATGATGAAAAGGAAAAACACAATACTGGCAGTTAATCTATCTGATTACAGCTGTGCCAGGCGAAATCTGTCTCGGTGCGTCACAGAGCCGCCGAAACACCGGGCGGCCATGAAGAGAAGCGCCGAAGAGACAGAGGAAGAGCTATGAAGAATGAGGCACAGAGAAAAGGCACAGCTGGAGGACGTGAGGCTGCAGAAACTTGTTCAGAGAATTTTTTAAACAGATGCGCTCACAGGTGCAAGACTGTTGTAATAAAAAAAATAAAAATTAAAAAACACCTCCAGCATCATCTAGTGTAGTTTTCACTGATATTTACTTTACACAATGACATGTTGAGAAATACCTAAAAACATCTCGGATTTTAAAGGAAACTTCTATTTTATTGCGCCGTGGGTTTCATTTACAAAACATTTCGACGTGACAAAGCAGAGGCAGAAACACAAGCAGTCAGACATTCATGCTGGTAGTAAACAAACCAGGTTTATCACATTTATTGACAAAAAAAAATAATGGAAGTGAATGGACCTGAAATACCTGTAATACAGCTGCTTTCATGCACCACTGGCAGAATATAAAGAACAGGAAAACCTCCTTTTCTTCTAATGTAGCAGAGCTCAGCTGTTATTCCAAGATACACAAACTTGCTTCTTTTGTAGTGTTATATACTTGTCATTAACAAGTGATAGATATAAATTATATCGCTTTGTTTAACCCTTTGAGCCCCAAAACCCTTTAACCCTCTGAACTCAGTATCTTGTTCTGCTGAAGGGCAGCAGTTGGTTTGTCTTTCAAAAAATTCACCAAATTCCACAATATCTAAGAGCCAAAAAATGTCAAAACAAAAAGAATGGTCACATTTCTAACTGTCCTGTGGTCCTTGATCTAATAATCTTACTTAGTTAATCTAAACTTAACCAGACCTAAGCTTAAAATCAGATTATTTCTAAAAAAGCCCCAAAAAACAGTTTGTTGTATCAGTTACACATGTGGACACTTGGAAATGTGCAGTGCATGCTGATTCCAGGTTTTTTCCATTTTTGTAAAAAAACAACAAAAAAAACCCCCAAACAAAACCAAAAACATTTAACGTTCTTTGTATGATTTATAGCATTGGACTATTTTTCATCCTGAACAAATCCATTTTGGAATTCTGCCTGCTTCTAGTCATTGTTGTGCTGCTCCCATCGAGGTGTAGGACTTTACATCACAGTGGAAAAGGAGCCAATAGTGAGTTAAAATCTGACAGGAGCAAAACAACAACAACAACAAAAAACAACCCAGAAACTGTTTTAAATTAAATGATCAGAATCAGCTGGCTTGTCGTCACCTCTGTAGGTGTTTTTATGGAGCCTCTAGCTTCATATTTAGCACAAATGTGTTGCTAATCTTCTCACGACGAGAAAGTGATTAGGAATATTTCCTAAACGTCAGAGGATTCCTTCAACAATTCATGCCAATGTGCTTCACGGTGGCAGCTAGAGACTGGGAGCAGAAAGAATGGCATCAGATAGTGTTGGGGTTGATAGCGTAAAGACACAGGGGGTCTGGTAATTTCAGCAAGAAACTAATTACCTATTGATTCCGTTTCTAACTAAGGGAAAATTTATAGCTTGTGGCCTGACACCGATCAATAGAAAATTCAATGTCCAGCTATGCCCTTCAGCCTGTTTATCTGTCTGCACGTGAACAGCACAGCCTCACCCCAACCGTCATTTTTTCTCTCTCTCTTCTTGCACACAAACGCCCAAACATGTCTGTCTTCTTTGTTTTTGTTGTTTTTAATAGTTCATCCAAGGTTGTAGACTCACTAAATCTTTAATTTCCTGAATGTCTGTTATTTAATTTTGCAGTCTTACGTTAATAGCTCATTTTCAAGGCTGCTGTTTGGGGCTTCTGCAGGAGTTTGGACAAAAAAATGTAAAAAGCTTTGAGATGTGGACGAGACGAGGCAAAAAGATTTGATTTTGCAGGTGCATTTAACTGCACAGCTGGAACACAATCCTTCAGCTCTACGCTTGAACAGGAAACTGACGACAAGAATCACATAAATAAAATCCAGATGTGGAGTGATGGAAAAAAAAAAAAGGCAGAAAAGGTAGATCCAGATGATCTTTATGCGTTACTTTCCGTTTTGCCTCTGTTAATCATTCGCACTGTCATCCCGTGCATGTTGGCCAACAGATAACCACGTCTGTCTCCCAGCAGTTGGATGGCTATGTGATGATAACGGAGTCGAGGTAGTAATGATTAACTTCCAGTTAACTGTCTGCGTGACTCTTCAGACTTCTATTAAACATCTGTGCTCTCATAACAGTCCTCTCTTGTGATGAGGACCTTAGATGAGTGAGCGAGTGCCAGCGTTTAATGGAAAACTAAACTACCGCGGGCAGGAGCGGCTGAACAATGTCTTGACACTTGCCACGTTCTAACTCGAAACTGCACATTCACTCTTAAATGTATCCATTTAGTTGTGGTTCTTTGGCTCTGATGTGCTGATTAAATGAAATCCACATCGTCCTCACTCTAATGAACACCTGTTTATAATGTGTGCTGAAACAATCTTCCATTTCATTATCATAACTACTTATTTAACCTCACTCCTTGAGCACGCTGCTTGAATTATCCTCTCCTCTACTTGTCAGAGCTGCTATTATTCTGCAAACGCCACCTTTCTCACATCTCCCGTCGTCTCGACCTCTATTCTTATTTTACAGTCGCTACCTGGTGCGTTTTCTAACCACTCGGGCCTTTCACAGAATAACCTTTAAAATCTAACAGCGCCGATGAATCACTGGCTCGCTGTGAGAAGCTCATAACAAGCCAGACAGACAACGTGAATGGACCAGACGTTGAAGAGATGCCAACAGAAAAGCAATGCAGAAGATAAGCACAACAGTTCACACTTGATCTCATGTTAAAGATTAACCATCCTGAACAATCTCATCTGAACTTTAACATATTTATTATTATTACCTTGAATTATATTAGTGTCTGAATATGTAATCCCAAATCAAGGTCCACTTATCAGCTTTGACATGTAATATAGTCGACAAGATAGCAGGAGGACTTTGTAACCGCTGCTTTGTCAAACTTATGCTTCCAAGGTCAAAAATGAAGAAATTACTGTTGCTGACATTTTGGAAAAGAGATTTATTATCTCCTTGCTGAGGATTAGAAGATCAATACCACTGTGAGCTCCGTGCGTCTTACACTGAACAAAAACATAAATGAGGCCGTCTTTTCTGACAAAGAGAAAGAGGTAAAAAAAATAAAATCTAAATGCTGTTGTAAGAAAACTATTAGTTTGAGCAAACTGTGCACAAAAAGTTTAGGAGAGGCGGATAACTGGTGACTAATTGACAGTGACAATGATCAGATGTTGTGACCAGAGTACAGACGCTCCTATAAAACCTTAAAATGCAGCTTTTTTCAAATGATGCCAGAGCGAGATGCCACGAGAACGGATGCTGGCATGTTAGATTGGACTCTAGGTACTTGATACGTTCACAGCTTCACCATTTGTCATCTAAGAAATCTTTTTGAGACTGACGTATCTGAGAACGTGATCCTGTCCCTCACAATGTCTGCCAAAGAAAAGCTCTTCACTCTAAAAACAAACGTTTAGGCTTAACACATGGAACGAACGCGACAGTTTGCATCAATGTTTTTGAGTTGTGACAACTTCTAATGAAATTACCATCAACCAAAAAAACTACACTGAGTTAGCATATTTAGTCTTTTCCTACACTATCAATGCTATTCTAAAAGACCAATTACTTTATAATTGGTAGCGTAAACACAAGTTGAAATCCTGAACTCAAGGTGGAAGAAAAACAAGTTATCAAGCCAATTTAATTTACTACAACTTAAATTTTTGCTGTAAACCAATTTCCGCTTAAACTACACATACTGTTAGGTTAGTGTACTTGGCTGTTTAATTATGCCCGTTCTGTTGTAGAGATTCCATGTGTTAGAATAAATAATATTCATTCCTCTATGTTGAATAAATGATTTGAATGTATTAAAATGCTACATTATTAAACATGTCCTTGCACCTGCGGTATATTTTTACATATTTCTTACCTGCTCACTCATTCTGTTTAATTCACAGTCTCTGCATGACCCTCACATGCTGCTTATCAGAAAAAAAGACTCTTGTAAATGCATTTTATGGCCTAGTAATATACAAGGTATATCAGAAAAGTTTCAGGACTGGTGTCACAAAAGATATATATGAAATCTAAACTGCAAACTACAAGCTTTCCCCTTTGAAGTAATCCTCCTGGAGTCTAACACACTTTCCCAGCCTTCTTTTCCACACCACCATGCATTCTTGGAAGGATTCTTCTGGGATCCTCCACAGCTCCGTCATCCCAGCCATCTTGATGACCCCCTTGAGCTTGGGGAAGAGGAAAAAAATCCCACGTAGCCAGGTGAGGTGAGTAGAGAGGTTGCTCCAGTACGGTGATGCTCTTCTCAGCCAGGAACTGTCGGATGCTCAGGGCATTATGAGCAGGCACGTTGTCATGGTGAAGCAGCCACGACTTGTCCTGCCACAACTCTCGCCTCTTCTGGCGCACTGAACGAAGCAAACGCTGCATGATCTTTTTGTAGACGTGCTGGTTGATCGTCTGGAGGGGAAAACTCGTATTTTGGGTTTGAAATATATCTTTTGAGACACCAGTCCTGGAACTTTTCTTACACACCTCGTGCAGTGCTACGATATGCCAAGTGCAGTTATAGAATCAAGC